TCTGACATTATTTATTCTCTAGAAACAATTTTAAACAGCCCAAAGTGCCAATATTGCGTCGAATTTTTATTTAATTGAAAATCATTAACATATTTCAATAATGTGCACACATCTATGTGAATATATATATGAAGTTGTTTTTTCTTAGTGCAACGCTATACAATGTGCAGTCTGTGCTCTCTCACCGCGAGGAATCGAATGCCGGATTTTAGCGTTGTAAATCGGTAAGTTTACCGCTGACTCACTGGGAGACACATCCATGAAGTAACCGCTTTGTACTTATCAATTTATCAACGCCAGGTGGCGTCTGTGTAGCTGAAATGTGAAATTGTTGAACACAGATTCTAATTATATATGATTTTACTTTAATGCCATTTGAAATAAGTATCACTCTACACTACTAAAATACGAAATAAATCAATGTCATTTTCTATTGTAAAGAATGTACTTATGTACTTAATGGATTGTTACGGAGAAATACAGATAAATATTGATATAATTACACAACAGATTTTACGTCACAGTTGGTTCTGCTCCTCAGTTTCCAATGGTTATTTTTACCACGGTTAAGTGTATCTGGAAAACTATCACACAGAGGGTTAGCCGCATCTTATAAAAACGATTAAGCATATGCTAATGAAATGACTTACTGCCTCTGATACCAGCGTTAAAGACAACACGTTTAGCCCTAGATATTTGTTTCATAACTAATTTTCGACCATTAGATGATACAATTCCACCACGGTTAAACTTATAGCAAAGCATACAACATTTCAAAGATAAGAGTCTTCAATATTCTCCTAAAGCAAATGAAGAACAATGCTCTCGCCCTCAAAGTGAAGGCTTTGGTTAGGAAAGAGAATCCTCCGACTCAAAATGACATAACAAATTGAACTTATAATGAGAAAATGGCTAACGAAACTGGAAACTCAGCAATCCCATACGAATACAGTCTCACAATTCAGTTCTAATGGACATTTGTGTATTAAGCATGGCCTTGAAAGTTGACGTCCAAATAAATAAAGAGAAAAAACTTTGGCAATTCTGTTAAGATATGTGGTGTAAGAATGATCTCGGCGTCCTTCAAAAGCTTTTAACAACAGAAATAATGGTGTAAGAAAATAGTGCGTAATCATCACTGTCAGATTAAATGCAATCAACGACTACAAAATAGTATTAAGACTAACATTAGACTTAACACCTCATCTTGTAAAGAATTATAATCACTTTTGAGATGCAATAAATGTGAGGGATTATATGGGAAATGTATTGAAGACATTTAGAAGACATTTAGTGATATTATAGTGGTTGTGGATATCGTGATAATTAATTGTTGTCATGTATTTACCAATTAAGGCATAGGGTGTATAAATGATATTCGAGAGGGAAAATACATAATGCCACTTGAGTCAGTGTTTCTTTGTTACAAAGTTAGTTTTGTAAGATTTCGCAGAATCTGTCTGTATGACTGTATAGCTGGTCTGGGTTTTTCCTTTTTGAAAAATAGCAGACTTCTCCAAATAATATTAACTAACTAACATAACCACTCAACGAACGGGGATGATATAGTGGCCCCCAGAAAGAGATGTAGGAGAGCCAGATCAGAAAGCCGACCCCTTATGTCAATCTCCTCAGAACACTAAGGCTATATGACATATTTGATGACAATCGGTCCAGCGATTCTCTAGGTATAAGCGAACGCAACGCAAGGGAAAGATTCCCGAGTTGTAATATGGAGGGAGGGGTCAGATGAGAACCCGAACATTTTTGTCACTCCCTTGAGAGTCTTAAGAGTATATGTCTGATTTGGTAACAATTGGTCCAGCGGTTCGCCATTTCTAAGCAGACACAATAAACACTCTTATGTCAAATAATAGTTTAGAATTTAGACAAAGAGCGATTGTAGACAAACAGTACCAGCAGTAAAAGTTAGCTCACAACAAAATTGCACAGTTAGTTGTGAAAGAACAGAAAAAAAGGCGAACTCAGTAGCTTGAAAATACTTAAGTTGAAATGTTTTTAGTTTTGGGAGGTTAAAAAATAATTTTTAATTTGCAGAAACATTTTGTTTTAGAATCATTATACTCCCTTTTCATGGTTTATTTAGAAATCACGATACATATTCTTTAATATATATAAGAATAAACATAAGTTATTAATAGAATATCTCTAAGAAACATTTAATTATTCAAGCAAATGACAAACACGTCTTATAAAAATGTATAATCATTCAATTTAAACAAAGGCGTGGTTTAAAGAAGAGTAATAAACAACTTAGCAATAAAAATAAGTTTTAATGCTTAATTAAGGATAGGAATGGCTCATCATCTGGCCGTGCTGGATTACAGTTGAACATTGGAATCTAGAGACACTGTGTGGTGATTGAAAGTCTTAGAAGGCATTGCAGCTTTTAATCAGGGTTTGGTGACTGTAAGTCTAGGAAGGTGTGTAATATGTAATGCAGCTTTTAAACAGTGTCTATTTGTTGCAAATTTAGTCAGACTTTGGTGGCTGTAAGTCTAGGAAGGTGTTATACGCAGTACAGCTTTTAGTCAGACTTTGGTGGCTGTAAGTCTAGGAAGGTGTCACATGTGATACAGCTTTTAATCAAGGTTTGGTGTCTTGAGTCTAGGAAGGTGACATATGTGGTACAGCTTTAAATCATGGTTTGGTGGTTGCAAGTTTAGAAAGTTGTCACATGTGGTACAACTTTTAATCAGGGTTTGGTGGTTGCAAGTTTAGGAAGTTGTCACATGTGGTACAACTTTTAATCAGGGTTTTGTGGTTGCAAGTTTAGGAAGTTGTCACATGTGGTACAACTTTTAATCAGGGTTTGGTGGTTGCAAGTTTAGGAAGTTGTCACATGTGGTACAACTTTTAATCAGGGTTTGGTGGTTGCAAGTTTAGGAAGTTGTCATATCTGATAGAACTTTTAGACATCGGTCGGTAAAGAAATTTTAGGAAGGTGTCATAAGCGGTATAGCATTTATACAAGTTTTTATGCTTCACATAGTGACATGCTTAAGATTTTACATCTTTTGGTGTTGAATATTAACAGTGTTTTTGTGTTAAAAATAATAATTCATTTACATGTTTTTACTATCAAGTACTTATTAAGCTTCCAATATAAATAACTATGGCTATATATAATAAACCCTACTGTGTCAAAAGCGTCTATAAATACTCATCAACTATTCTTACTTAGAGAGGTATATAAACACACTTTTATATTTTAATGGTTTTTTTGTTTACTAAAGAATCTTATTAATGCAAGTCATCAGCGAAAAGCAGAATTAAAAATACGTTTATTTCTCTGCTGCTGGATTAATGCTTCATTTTGTTTTACGAAAACCAAATAAGTAAATATTTTATTCATAGAAAGACGCGTACTACTCGTACCATTAGAACAATTAAACACGAACGTGTGAGGCATGTTTAAACAGGGTTGCCACATGACTAATGGTGTACGCGTATGCTTTTGAATTAATATCGCGAAGTTATATAGCCAATGAAAGAGATAATGCCAAAAGGTCCCTTTCTGTATGATAGAGCACATGCGATTGTAAATTTTGTGGACCATGTATGGCAAGATGGTAAACACTCGCATTTTATCACTATCATATGTAAACACAGATGAGAGAGTAATAAAACTCCATAGAACATAACTAACATTGCAAGCTAATGTGGAAAATAGAGGTGAAAACAGTTCCCTGTCAGTGAGTGGTGAGAACATCCGGGAACATATTAAGAGCTAAAGTGTAAACGTTGATTAGACAAGGGTGATTATATTAGATACTTATTTCTCTGTTGTCAATGGGAAAAATATAACACTACTAGTATGTTTTTATTGTGGAGTTTACGAACAATTTGACCAAAGCAACCGTGTATAGAATAATCCATAGAATTCATGAAAATTTACAAAAGCCAGATTATTATTATTATGGTGTGGCGCGAACTATTTTAAAATGGAAGATTGAAGCTCAGTTCATGCAGTGCAAGCCTATTCACCCTCACTATACTTAATATTACTTTTAAAATTCATGAATATTTGCTCAAAGCTGAAAAGGTTGGTTGAGCAGAATGTCTGATAACAAGTGTAGTGAAAATCTTTACTTTAAAATAAACTGAATGTTCCTATTTAACACGTCACCGAACATGCTCGCCCTCTCAGCCGTAGGGCATTATAACGTGACGGTAAATCCCACTATTCGTTGGTAAAAAAGTAGCGCACGAGTTGGCGGAGGGGGGGGGGTGTTGACTAGCTGCCTTCCCTCTAGTCTATCATTGCTAAATTAGGGACGGCTAGCGCAGATTGCCCTCGTGTAGCTTTACGTGAAATTCAAAATAAACCAAACCTATTTAACATACGAGGAAGGGCGTTAACTCTCTTATAAGGAGAGACCACCATTATACGAATATGTACACACCTTTGTCAACATTACCACGTATTATATTTCTAAAATGGTAATAGGAAATTATAAAGAAAACAAAACGAGAACAAAAGTCTATGCAAGTAGTTAAGGAAATGTAAGATAAAATTAAATAGATCAAAAATTTTGATTTGATGAAGAACTAGAGTATAAAAAAGGTTTCATATGTACTCTTAAGATATAATTATTAAACACCAACGGTGTAAAATGTCATAGGATATAAACAACAACTTACAATAGCCTGTTTACGTGCAACGAAATCAAACGATTTTAATCTGCATCTGATACTGCATACTGATATGTTTAAAATTTACGCATAGTGTAATTAAAACACATATAAAAGTGACTATGTATTTGCAATTATATCAGATTGAATTAATAGCAGCAACACAATTATGTAGACTTCAACCTTAACAACGGAATGTTTGAATTGACGCGTAAAAAAACCCATTAGGAGTTCAAAAGCCGTTTATTTTATTTTCACATATTGGGATAATAAATTTGTAATAAATTTGAATTTAGCAGTAAGTTTTTACTTGATATTTACTTAGATGTCTTTCGTATATGTAGCAGAACCACACCAGATGTCGCGAGTTGTGACATCACGTGATCCTGTGGATGAAAAATGGATGTGTGAGTAACGGTGGCGTCACTTATTTGGCGCCCGCACACTTCTATGACGAACTTTCAATCAACGTCTGCTCGCGTGAAGTCGATCTCCTTGACATCCAGGTTTCATGGCATCGTTTTACTCCACTCCGGGACACATAACCTGTTTGCATGTTACTCTTACTTTTATTGACACCGTCTAAACTATTGATGTATCTTAGCCAGAAACTGCTCAAACTAACATACAGCTGAATATAAGCGCGAGATAAGAATAGGTAATTCTTATAAACTGAGAAAACTTAAAAGTGAAAAAATAATCGGAAAAGATGTACATCAGTATTTATGTCTTCAAAAACTAAACGTAAGTGTTGCGCAGCTCCCGTAGGTTAAATAGTTAACCCTATTTATGTGTGTTTATGTATGCTTATGTGTGTGCATCATACTAACTGAATACATCGTCATCATAACTGGCACACTAAAATATGAAGTAAAAATTTCGGCAGGTTTGCGACACGTTGTTTGTCTTGCAAGATTATGGTAATTATTAACAATATCTTAATGTACTGTGCATTCGTCATCCGAGTATTTGATACTTGTTTAAGGTGTATATTACTTGTAAACTTAAACTTGAAGTACGGTAGCACATTGTTTGGGAAATAATAAACACAATGGTAGCTTAAAGATACGAGTACAAAAAAAGTGTTTATTTAAGAAATTTGAGTGAGGGATTAGTTAAAAGTCTCTGTGAAGTGTTTACTTGAGATTAGTTAATGTCCTTATGATTAGCAATTGTCAGTTGTTTGCATGAAACTTTTCATTATGACTTAAGTACTTGTATAACACTTCTGATTAGAACGACTTAAGATTTGAGCGAAACTCGTTATTAGAACTTGTTTAATGTCTGCACGAAAGGACTATGGCTTATAAAAGGGTTCTACAACACTTCTGGTTAGGCCTACTTAAAGTTTGCACCAAAGAATTATGACTTATTAAGTGCTTGTACAACACTTCTGATTAGGACTGCTTGAGGTTTTTGAATGAAACGCTTTATTGGGACTGATTTTAATGTGTGCACGAAAATGGCTTATTGAGTATCTGTAGGAAAGGCTTGATTTATTTCCAAGCTAAATGAACATTTGAATTCTATCAGTTAAGATCTATATATTAATTTTGCTCTCATTTAACGTTATAAATAAGTTGTCCTGTCATTTTTCTTTTTAATATTAAAATATTCTAAAAAGGGTTGTAATAATAGAAAAATTTGACCATGTAAAGTGTACTTTTCTGTTCATATACACATAAATAGGAATATTAAATGGAATAATAAATGACAGATATATCGTTGTAATTCCAATATTTTTTCCGAACAGTGTTTAAAGCAGGTTTGTTCTTGTAAATCCCATTTTGTCGTTATTGACGAACTTTATTAAAACAGAAGAAACTCATTCGAAGATCATCAGTTGCTCCTTTTATCCCTTAGACTTGTTGATTATGTTATAGAAATTTCTCACGCACTAGAAAAATAATCCGCAAAAGTCGTATATATATATATATGTATATATCACGAAATCGGTTCGTTTATTTGATGGATTTTTGACTATATATATATATTCAAGATCATGTTAAAGCTTGAAATGATTAATATGAACTTAGTGATTCCAAAGAACGAGCAATAGGCCTAATATATTTAAATAATCGTATCTTATTCATACATTAAAAAAATATAATACAGTAACATATTTGAGGGTAACAAATCACTGGAACATTTTTTGGAAATAATAAAATAAATATATGTATAAAAGATAGGCTTATAGACATGTTTTTATCAAACAAAAATTGTAGAATAAAAAACTACGCAAATATCGTCGACTAAAGCTTTACGGAGAGCAGTCATTGAAACCGTTGAAAATAAAAAAATTTGATCTCTTGTTTCTAAAAATGCTCCCCAGTGGCAAAGCGGTAAGTCTGAAGACTTGTAATGCTAAAAACCGGGTTTCGATACCCGTAGTGAGCAGAGCACAAATAGTCCATTGTGTAGGTTTGTGTTTAATTACAAACAAACAAACAAAGTTTTTACAAACATATTATTAGGTAACTATTTTTACATTACTATTATCTATCACATTTGTTTCTCAATGGCAGTAAGAAAAATCCGTCTCAATCTGAATTGTGATGAAATAATAACGAAACCCTCCAGAGGGAGCTGGGTTCAGGCTGTGATAGAAGTGTAGTACCGAAGTTGAGTTGTGGTGATCATGTTTTGTATGTGTTAGAGGTGCTGTACTAAAGTTAGGTTGTGTTTCGTAATATATCACTGGATATAATGACACATGTTGATTTAAGGCACTCCAGTTTGTATGAACACATGAGTTGAAATTAAATGTGTAGCTCCTTGGGTAAACACTAAAATGTGTATTACTGTCACATAGTCACGTGAGCCAATACTCGCTGCGCGTGTCTACGTCGACCCAGTACAGCGTTTGTTGTTGGCATGGCTTTTCGCATATAAGAACTTCAATGGATTACCACTTCATAGAAGCTTCTGCAAAATCAACAGTTGCTTAAACGAGGACAAATATTGTTGGAAACCTGCTGGCGGGGACATTCAGGGCTAGCCAAACAAAAAAGATTGGCAAGGGGAACGATGACTAGAGTAAACCATAAAGCCACCATGAATACAATGAATTTTTGTAAGGAAGGAATAAAAAAGGAGGGGTGAATATGGGAGAGAAAGCTTTTGGGAGAAATAAAAAAAAATCACGATAAAGGAATGTGATATATTTACCCGATTTAGCTGAGTTTGAAGCATAAATTCTGTGTTAGAATTACATAAATTCTGTTATTGAGAGTTGTTGTTCCTGATGTTTAGTTTCATTATCTTATGTTTGTTGTATGAATTAATTTTATTAAAATTAATGTGAACAGTGACAAACCACATAGAAGCAACACAACTCCAGACTGCTCGTAAAGTGTGACGAGTACATAGAAAGGTTTCTATAAAAGTTATAACGTATTTAAATAGGTCAGTAGAAGGTTGTGTTTTTATGTCTCAACAACTTTAAAGTTGTAACACATATACTTTTCTAAAGAAATGAAAATTCAAATCCAACGAGATTCGACTTATCGATTCTGCTAACCGAGTAGCTTATTTGATATTTACAAGTAGAACTGAGGATTCGAAACCAGCTCGATCTGAACATTCACTTTATATGAAAAGTTCGGGTGTTTAGGCATTTCATAGGTGTATTTCAGATTCGGCAGCCAATGCTAGTCTTAGATGTGTATGTCATAAGCAAATTTATGCAACCCATTTGCAACAGGTTTTAGAAACCAGTCCATTATGAAACATAATATAACCATATTAGAATAAGAATAGAAGTGTGTGGAGTGCCCAAGTTGGTTAACGTGATAAGAAAATCATAAAGTTGTTTAAAGTTTGGGTATCAGGGTATGTTGTTTAAAGTTAAAGTATCAGGGTAAGTTGTTTAAAGTTTGGGTATCAGGGTATGTTGTTTAAAGTTTGGGTATCAGGGTAAGTTGTTTAAAGTTGGGTATCAGGGTAAGTTGTTTAAACTTTGGGTATCAGGGTATGTTGTTTAAAGTTTGGGTATCAGGGTAAGTTGTTTAAAGTTAAGGTATCAGGGTAAGTTGTTTAAAGTTAGGTATCAGGTAAGTTGTTTAAATGTTAGGTATCAGGGTATACTGTTTAAAGTTTGGATATCAGGGTAAGTTGTTTAATGTTAGGGTATCAGGGTATATTGTTTAAAGTTTGGATATCAGGGTATCATGATATGTTAAACATTTTTCAACTCAAAGAAGTTTATTTAACTCATTTTTTCCTTTAGCAAGTACGTAAAGACTTTAATATGAAATAGAAGGTAATTTTCAACTCATAAGCCTCAACGAACATGCTAAAACTTGTCGTAAAATATTTACTTGTAAGAAATCTTATATACACATGTATCCACTACTAGTAAAAATTTTGAATAGGTAGTTATAGTATGTCTTCAACCATACTTTTAGTTACACTTTCAAATCTACCAATTAATCCTTCATTAAAACATCTACAGCAGTCTCAAGCGGTATATATTTATACAAAGATAACAAGAAACAAATCTAGATTGAAAACAAGTGACCACGCTAATGAAAAATAAGATAAACAATGATTTAAACCGAGTGATTAGTAAACAAGGTCTGAAAGTTAGTCCGGTTTCTTTCAACGACAACAACAAAAATAAATGTTTCTTATCAAAACTTCAAATTGACTTTAAGGATATATAAATTTTCAGTCGAACTACCGAAATAAAAATACCGTTTTTGTTCACACAAATCCATACACGGCTAGCCGACCGAGCAGCGAGCGAACTGAAAAGCACCAGGACGAATATAATACATACTAAGCACCAGGACGAACATTAAGCACCCTTCTGGAGAGTGAGAGAGACGCATCAACAGCTTTCCTTCCACTCCATTTAAAATTTGGACGAACTTTCAGCTCTGTTGAATCCACAGAATAATATTCAATAGATAACAATAAGACCCTCGGACCCATAATCTAGAGGTCGGGTCTTCTGCCCGTCCGTATAACAATAAGAAAACGTTGGTCCGTTAACTAGAGGACCGTCAGAGAACCTCTGCGGTTTGTACACGCCTGTACATTATGGAGAACAGGCTGGTTATATTCATGGTAGATCACTGTACTGCAGAGGTTTCTGCGTGGATAAAGTCTTATTCCAGAGTAAACATTTGGATTTATTCAGTCTTCACAATTAGCAACAACTAAACTGATAAAAATGCAATAAAACATAAAGTACCCTTAAAAATGTACGTATATTTAACAGAAAATATCCGGCCGCAGTGTGACCAGAGATTCTCCGTAAAATAAACAGAAAACTGGTTATCATTTCAGTCTCTTTTATAGAAATTCTATAGATTTCTTAAATATACTAACAAAATTATTCTGTATTTTTTATGGATTTTCTGTTTGTAAGCGCCACTGGATATTTTCCTTAAATTTATAGTAGTCCCGAGAAAAGAGCAGATTTTTCTGTAAATGCGTTTCGATTCTTTCCTGTTCACTTTTCAAGAATGTCTTGAAAATAAACAGATACTTTCTGATCTTTTTTTTTTCAGATTTGTGGGGAAAATACGAAAACCAGAAAAGTAATGACAATATATGATACATAAAATAAACTTATTTAATGAATTTCTCGTGTTATTTTCATTAAAGTACTCGTTTCTCGTAACAAAGAAACGAAAGAAATAACAGAATGAAAAATATTTTTAAATTACTTCAACAAAATACATCCCTAA